TAGGTACTACATGCCCAGCCATACCCAGATATACCCTGCTCTGCCACTTCTGTGTCTTTGTTCAACCTTTTCCCTCAGTCTGAAACACCCAAGTACTGAACCTCTTTGCATCTGAGAAGAATTCCCCATCTATCTCCTCTTGGGCAGACTGAATTATTTCTTTTATTTATTTATTTATTTATTTTTGCTTTTTTCTTTTTTTTAATTGAGATGGAGTTTTGCTCTTGTTGCCCAGGCTGGAGTATAATGGTATAATCTTGACTCACCACAACCTCCACCTCCCAGGTTCAAGTGAGTCTCCTGCCTCAGCCTTCTGAGTAGCCGGGACTACAGGCGTGTGCCATCACGCCTGGCTAATTTGTGTATTTTTAGTAAAAACAGGGTTTCACCATGTTGGTTAGGCTGGTCTCAAGCTCCTGACCTCGTGATCCACCCACCTTGGCCTCCCAAAGTGCTTGGACTACAGGCATGAGCCACCATGCCTGGCCCAGACTGGACTCTCTATAGAGCATACTGCTTGTACATCTCATATGGTAATTGTTTCACTCTGCCTTGTTTATATCACTGCGTTTACATTGCTGTCTTTCCATACTAAAGTGTGAGCTCTTTGAAGAAAACGGCTATGTCTTATTTCATTTTTATCCCTCCATCCCTACTAGCAAATTTAGGACCTAACATGACCATCAGAGAGCAGAGCTCAATGAATGATGTCCATCCTCAGCAATCCCAGCACCTGCCTAACCCTCAGCCAGCCGCTGGAGAATGAGCAGCTCACTTCACTCCTTGATATGGATGTAGCACCTTCACTCTCTGAGAATACCTTGAGTTCTTCAGAGAAGGGTCCCAGACCAGAGATCCAGGCAGTAATTGTCTCCTGATTCTCATAGCTTAGCTCTGAGTCCTGCTTTTGCAAATTTTTTTCCTACCTCCTCATGGTTCTTCTTCAGGCACAGCAGCTCCTCCCTCAGGGACTCCACCTGGGCCTCCAGGTCGGACGTGCAGAGGGTCAGCTCATCCAGGATCCTGCGCATGCTGTTGATGTCCGACTCCACCAGCCGCCGCAGGGACTGCTCCGTCTGGTACCTGCACGCATTGGAGTGGGAGGATAAGTCAGGAAAGAAAACCACCTTCCTCTATTATGTGTTGCTTGGGTAGAATTGGCCTGAATCTTCTTGAACTTACACCATTTTCTGCCTCTTCTCTTCCACATGTTTCCCTCCAGCTGTGCATGGATAGAATGGAGAGGTTCCCTGACTCACCCTGACACCACAAGGAGCCCAGGGGCACTCGTGAGATGAAGTCTCTCACTGTGCTGTCAATTTTGTTAGCTAATATACCACCAAATCAGTTCCCAAAGAAGAATTCATTTCAATCTCTGAATCATGTGGTTTAAGAAACACTTCCGAAAAGACTAGTATAGACTGAAGAGCAGGCAGCCCATAAGCCTGGATCTCTGTTTGAAACTGATTTTACATAACCAACCCTAAGAGGAAAAAAGGAGAGAAATGGCCTTCTCCTCCCTTCCAGGCAATATTAGGTCCCTAGGACCATGAAAGAACCACAGGGACCTTGAACATCTGGCCCCAGAAGTTCAACATACTTGGTTCTGAAGTCATCAGAGGCCAACTTGGCATTGTCAATCTGCACCACCAGCCTGGCGTTCTCAGCCTTGCCACACAGAATCTGAAAAGAAATTTCTCTCATGAGGTGCACTTGAACTTGAGAATGTCTTACTGCTCAAAGACAGCCAGCTGCTGCCGTGGCCCCACATGGCCCACCCCCTCACCTTCTGCTGGAGCTCCTCGATGGTCTTGAAGTAGGACTGGTAGCTGGCGCACAGCAAGGGCTCCTGCTGCTGGGACCGCTCCTGGATGAGGCTCTCCAGCTCCGCGTTCTCCCGCTCCAGCTGACGCACCTTCTCCAGGTAGCTGGCCAGGCGGTCGTTCAGGAACTGCATGGTCTCCTTCTCGCTGCCATTGAAGGAGCCCTCACAGAACCAGTTGCAGTTGCTCACGTTGGCGGGGATGTTGCAGGCCCCGGGCAGGGTGCAGCCGTGGCAGCTGGGGGGCACGCAGGGCCGGGAGGAGCAGCTGGTGTGGCAGCTCAGGCTGGGCAGGCAGCAACTGTAAGACATGATGCTGGGACGGGTAATGGAAAGGCAGGTAAGCTGCTGGAAGTGGATGTGAGCAGGTTTGAGTCTCTCGTTCCTCTGCGGTCCTTTTATACCATTAATGGTGGGTGGGGGCTTGGCATGCAGCATAGTTTCCTTTCCTAATGCTTCAGCTAATTTTTCTCCAAAATATGCTAGTTAGATGCTTCTAAAGAGTCCCCCCTCATCCCATAAAATTATTCCATTCAGCTTATGTCACACCAGGCTCTTCCTGGGTGCTAGTGATTGGTGAAATCAGAGTTTCATCAGACGGCTTCACAGGAGGGAGCATCATCATAGCCCCAAAAGGCTGTCCGCATTACTCAGAGGGGAGGACAGCCGGAGACATGGGGTGGAGTTGTTTGGGAATCAGGGATTCCTCACCCAGGACGTTCTGCCACTGTTCTTTGTCCCTGGAAAGACAGCTTTGAGAGAGAGCTTTGAGAGTTCCTCTTCCAGGTAACTCTTTCCTCCCGTGTTCATCCATGTCTCAGTATTCAACTTGTTTTTGTAGCAGAAACTCAACCTGTATTAGCTGAAAGGATCCTGAGCCTTACTATTGGGTGGGGTTTAGGGAACTTGCCAACACGTGGAGAGATTGAAAACAATTGCATGTTCATGGTCGGGAAATGAGAAAATAAAATGGAAACCAATGGAATGGATGGGAATACGCCTAAAAGGGGCATCTGCAAACAACAGCCCACAGGTCAGGTTCACCCTGCTGCATTTTTGTGAAACAATGGTTTTTTTAGTAGAGACGGGGTTTCATCATGTTGGTCAGGCTGGTCTTGAACTCCCGACCTCAGGCGATCTGCCCTCCTTGGCCTCCCAAAGTGCTGGGATTACTCACAAGGCATGAGCCACCACACTTGGCCCTCTACTATAAAATTTAAAAGACAAAAGTATTAAAAATAGCTATAACTGTAAAAATAGGTTAATGGATACACAGTATAGCAAGATGTAAATCGTGATATCAATACATAAAAGGTGTGTGGGGGAGAAGCAAAAGTGCAGATTTTACATGCAGCGAACGTTGTTATCAGCTAAAAACAGACTGTTAAAGCTGTACATTGTTTTATACAAGCCCCATAATAACCACATGAAAATACCTGTAGAAGATACATAAAAAGAAGAATAAAAACATATCAATACAAAAATCCATGAAACACAAAGGAAGATGACGAGAGGAAAAGAGAGACAAAAGAACCCTGAGAAAGACAAAACAATTCACAAAATGGCAATAATAGGTCTTTCCCTATCAATAATTTATTGAAATGTAAATAAAAGTTTCCAATCAAAAGACATGGAGTCGCTGAATGGATTTTCAAAAAAGCAGCAAGGTCTATCTATATGCTATCTAGAAGAGACTGGCTTTGGATTTAAAGGTACATATAGGCTGAAAGTGAAGGAATGGGAAAAAAATATTTCATACAAATGGTGACCAAAGGACAGCAGGATGGCTGGCCATCAGACAAAATAGTCTTTAAATCAAAAACTCTCACAAAAGGCGAAGAAGAACATTATTTAATAAAGTGACATCGTGTACAGGGAACATCCATAAGGCAATTAGTGAATTTCTTAGCAGAAACTTTGAAGGACATGGGATAATATATTTAAAGTGCTGAAAACAAACAAACTGCCAACCAAGAATATCATTCCTAGCAAAATTATCCTTCAAATCTGAAGGATAGATAAACAAAAGCTGAGGTAGTTCATCATCACTGGACCTGCCTTACAAAAAAGTCAAATGAAGTTCTTTAAGTTGAAACAGAAGGATGTTAAAAGTAATATAAATGCATATGAAAGTATAAAACTTGCTGATAGACATAAATATATTGATAAATATAGAATGCTGTAATACTATCATGGTGGTAGGTAAATCACTCTTTTAATTCGACTATAAAGTTTACTTATTTATTTTTTTGAGACAGAGTTTCACTCTTGTCGCTCAGGCTGGAGTGGAGTGGTGTGATCTCCACTCGTTGCAACCTCCGCCTCCTGGGTTCAAGCAATTCTCCTGTCTCAGCCTCCTGAGTCTCAGCCTCCTGAGTAGCCGCAGCATTGTCCTTTTCAGTACTCAGAGTTCCTTCTAGCACCGCCAGCTGTTCACAGTGCCAGGGGACTGGGCTTTATGACAGCACGACTTGAGGACTAGTTTTATCCCTTTTAACAAATTGTAAATAAGTGGTGGTCAGGAACTGTGTCTTTCTTCATGTCTCTCCCCATCCCACCACCCACCATCTGCACAGAGTAAGTATTCAATAGGCACTGGTTGGATTGAACTGAGAAAGTCCAAAGGATCAAATAAAGAGTTGATGGGGTCTCTAAGACCCGGAGTCGAGGAGGGAAGAGAGCAGCCGCAAGACCAGGCTGACAATGATCGACCCACACGAGGGAAAGGGGGAATTCCTGGGCATAGCAGGGCAGGGCAGAGAGTCTCTTGGCTGGGAAATGTCTGAGCCACCAACAACCCAGAATAATACAGCACTAAACCCAAAAGTTCTGCTGAAAAAAGATGAGTTTTCCAGAGCTTCTTTCCAGCCCCCAGCTCATGCCTTCTCCATTCAGATTTGGATATAAGCAGCTCTGGGAGCCGCCCAGGTCAGAAGGAAAATCTAAAAAAGGCCAAGGTGCAGCACTTCAGCACCTCCACCCTCCTTCCCACAGGCCTGCCTGCCTCACTCCTGGGTCCAGGGTGCCAGGTTAGCCGTCTGCCACTGCCCCCGCAGGACATGAAACTGCTCTTGTAGCCAAGAGTCAGGCCATTATATGGTCTGTCTTTCAAGTGGCTTTTTATAGCATACTCAGGTGATGAGCACATTGAAACAAATGAATACAAATGAGAAAGGCGTCTGTTTTGCCAAAGAAATAACATTTATTAGGAGGTTACAAGAGTTCTCTGGGTGAGCACAAGAAGGAACAGACCCCCGGGAAGGAAAGAGTGAGCAGGACGGGCTGGAGTAGTTGGGGAGGCTGCAGGCTTTGGCTGCCTTACTGGGGCCACTCCAGCCATGCAAATGATGTTTTCAGGCCCCTTTTGTTGAACCAGAGCCAGGTCACAGCTCTGGAGTCCTGGGACCTGCGTCCTTGCTCCTCCGGCATTAGCTTCTAGCGCACAAAGGAGTTGCAGGGTCCACAGCGGGGACGTGGAGCACAGGGTGTGCAGGGGACAGGAGGGACGCAAGGGGTGCAGGGATTGGAGACACAGGGTCCGATGGCCTTGCTGCACGCGTTGGTTGTGGCACAGGGGTTGCTGGGCAGACTGGAGACAAAGAATGATGTGGAAAGGTGAGTTAAGGGAGATTTTAAAATCAAATGCCAGAGAGATCCCCAAGGGTAAGAATGCCTGTCAGGACTTGGCCTGGCCTGGAACAGAGAAGGCACGGGCTCCCCTGCCACAAAGATAACTCTCAAATTGTGAATGGTCCCCCTGCCGTAGAGCAACCAAGGTAGACAGAAACTCTGAAACTCTGATGTCTACTCTCAAATCCGTTCATACCAAACTGGTAACATTGGGTGAGTCATTTGCCTTCTCCAAGACCCAGTTTATTTTCCTATAGAATGCAGGGAATTCTGATCCAGCCCACCTGGTGGTAATTACAAGATCAAATTAGGTAGTCTGTGGGAATGTACCCACTACACAATACAGTATTGTAAAAGGTAAGGCATTAATCCCATATCATGCAATCATGCATGTTATCATAGTAGAATGCAAAGACTTGGCTGTGCAATTTCAGTTTGTACATCAAACAACTCTTGCTACCAAACCATTTATGTTTTAAATGATGTCCATATTATATTGTCTGAGTTCTGTTTGAGCATGTCTAGTGTGAAGGCATAATTTCCTTTCCAAGGTATGCAATCTTTGCATGGTGTCTAACTGAATAGTACACTCACATGTGCATCGCTACATCAAACACCTCTGCCCAGCTACTCACTTGCAGTCCTCACTCTCCAGCAGGCTCCGGTACGTGTTGATCTCACACTCCAGCCGGGCACGCACGTCCAGCAGCACCTGGTACTCCTGGTTCTGCCGCTCCAGGTCACCGCGGATCTCCGCCAGCTGGGACTCCACATTGCTGATCAGGCTCTGCACCTGTGACAGCTGGGAGCTGTAGCGGGCCTCGCTCTCCGTCAGCGTGTTTTCCAGAGAGTCTCGCTGTGGTGGGGAAGATCAGGAATGTCAGAGAGCTGTTCCTTCAAAGCCTTTCTTCACAGGATTCCAAGGAAGTCACAGCTTCAAGAGCTAAGGAGAGCGTGTGGTCCCAAGGGCAGCCCCGGGACTCTGCCTCCCAAAGTCCCATCGCTCACCAGCAGGGCTGAGCAATACACACCAGGTTGTGCTGGGCCTGCAGCTCGATCTCCAGGGCGTTGACCGTGCGTCTCAGCTCGATGATCTCTGCCTGATAAGACTGCAGCTGCTCCGAGCTGGACACCACCTGCTTGTTCAGCTCCTCGGTCTGAAACACCCAAGGGGAGAAAGGATCAGACCCTGCTTCCAGGGCCCTGGAGTGGGCCTTGAGCCCTGAATGGCCACATGCTTAGATGCTCACCTGCGTGGCGAACCACTGCTCCACTTCCCTGCGGTTGGTGTCCACCAAGGCCTCATACTGACTCCTGGTCTGGTTCAGGACCTGGTTCAGGTCCACAGTGGGGGCAGCGTCCACCTCCACGTTGAGGCGATCTCCAAGCTGGCAGCGCAGGGTGTTGACCTCCTGAAGGAGAAAATACAAGAGTTACTATCCTGAGCAAAGAATGTACTCTAAGGAATGGCATTGCTTGTTGAAGCCCTGTTAGTCTATTTTCTCAGAAAAGAAACTCCGAGGGGAGCAGTCTGTGACAGCTCAAGGCACTCCATGCAGCATAGCCCCCTCTTCACCATCTGCTATGCCATGGCACTTGGCTTCAGAAAAAAAGTTTCCAAAGATTTGCTTGGATGCCACTGAAGGATGAACTAAGTGATGTGCAGCTTTACCAGTTTATAGTTGGTTGAGAGAACCTCAGAATGCAAAAAAAAAAAAAAAAAAGGCTGTACAATTTCAGATTGTATATCAAATTGTATATCAAAAACCTCTTGCAATCAACTAAGAGGTAACAGCATGTCATGGCCCCTCCCAGGAGAGAGAGGAAGAAGCTCACAAACATTCTTCACTAATACTTTAAAAGAATAGAGGCTTGCATTTATAAGGTTTAATTTTTTTTCTTGGCCTTTGGCAAAAAAATAAAAAGATTTTGCACAGCAATGGTAGGACTCAATCTATAACTGTTGATCAATTTCAAGCATGTGGAGCTGCTCTGGGCAACTCAGATAATGTGCTTGTTTCAAGTGAAAGATGTTTCCTGTCTGGGAACATGAATAGGTCTTGTCTCTCTCCAGTTTTTCTTTTGCCATGATGTTATTAAAGGAAACTCTCAGCCTTGTACTCATACTCTGCATTCTGCTGTCCCAATTCACTAAAACCACCCTCAGCTAGAGGCAGAGTCAGGCTTGTGCATTTCTCATTTCTAGTCTCACCTGCTCGTGGTTGCTCTTGAGGCACAGCAGCTCCTCCTTCAGGGACTCCACCTGGGCCTCCAGGTCAGACTTGCAGAGGGTCAGCTCATCCAGGATCCTGCGCAGGCCGTTGATGTCCGACTCCACCAGCTGCCGCAGGGACAGCTCAGTCTGGTACCTGCACAAGGACAGGGTCAGAGCACTAAGTGGTAGATCTTCAAGACTCATAGGAATGATTTTTGATAACCTCATTTGCCTTATCTTTCCACTTTCTGCAATGAATAGGCCCAGGGGACAGAGGGTTCTGGAGGCTCCATCAATACCCAATATTCATCTCAAAACAGATTGATTTGAGTCCTCATCTATTTTTGTGATTTCTTTGCTTGGTTCTCCCCAACCCTCTGCAGAATCCTTCACAACAGGTGGGTAGGTCTGTTTTTCAGTACAGCCATGGAAATCCCTTTTCTTTAAAGACTGAACAGAAGAAATGGACACTAGTGCGAATTCCAAACAACTCACTTGGTTCTGAAGTCATCCGCGGCCAGCTTGGCATTGTCAATCTGCACCACAAGCCTGGCATTCTCAGACTTGGTACACAGGATCTGGGGAGTGAGAGGTTGCTTAGTGAGGACTGAAAATAAATATGAAACCATCAACTTTTTAAAAATGACGTAAGAAGCCATTTTGAAATAAAAGAGGAAGCAAGAAGTATGACGGCACAGAAGCAAGAAACACGCTTCTCTATCACAGACGGAGAATCACAGCAAACTCTCTTGCTTCAAGATGACAGCCATGCCCCTCACCTTCTGCTGGAGCTCCTCGATGGTCTTGAAGTAGGACTGGTAGCTGGCGCACAGCAAGGGCTCCTGCTGCTGGGACCGCTCCCGGATGAGGCGCTCCAGCTCCGCGTTCTCCCGCTCCAGCTGACGCACCTTCTCCAGGTAGCTCGCCAGGCGGTCGTTCAGGAACTGCATGGTCTCCTTCTCGCTGCCATTGAAGGAGCCCTCGCAGAACCAGTTGCAGTTGCTCACGTTGGCGGGGATGTTGCAGGCCCCGGGCAGGGTGCAGCCGTGGCAGCTGGGGGGCACGCAGGGCCGGGAGGAGCAGCTGGTGCGGCAGCTCAGGCTGGGGAGGCAGAAGTTGTAGGGCATCGTGCTGGGAGGTAGGGAGTGAGTGCCTGGCTGAAGACAGAGTCTAAATTCTCCAAGCCACAGAGCTGTGGGTCTCCTTCCTCTAGGGAGCATTTATATCCCACTGCAGAGGGTGTGGACACAGTATGTAATGTCTTTTTTCTTTTTATTTCTACACTTCTTTTCAAACACCCTTTCCTTCAGTCTGTTATTTGCCTTCCTCAGAAGAGTCCCTTGTCCCATAAAATTCTTTACTTGGGCTTCTTGCTAAGTCAGGACTCCTCCGCAGACAGTCCACCCATGAAATCACAGTTCTGTGGTAGGCCTTCAAAGAAGCTACACAGTCCAGCCCAAGTATCTGCCCTCATTAATTGAGGTGTTGGTCTGTCCAGGGACATCCTTTCGTCATAATTTTGTCACAATCCTACAGGCCCATAAACATACTCATGTCCTGGTCCACCTGGCATTTGGGAGAAACATGGATTGGTTTGAGGAAGAAGTTGCATCAGGAGGCCACAGTGGACCGTCTTTCCCTCTGCATTTAGACAAGAGCCTTCAAATGCTGGAGCATCCCATATCTTAGAAGCCTTAAGGTGGATGACTAGAATCAATGGAGGACACGGCTGAAAAGATTGGACAGCAATTTGTGTTTAACGGGTCTATGTAATACTTCCCCTGCCCCCACCACTGCATATTACTTAAGAAAATTGTAGAGGAGAGAATTTTAAACACAGAGGCTTTGATCATTAGTTTGAGAACAGAAGTTCCAGGGGTAAGAGATCATTTTGAAAGAAGGCTGAAAAGTGCAAACTGAAAGAGCCATTAAAAATGCATTTAAATGATCTAGGAGAGATATTTAGGGGCAGATGTGAGGGAAAGGAATAAAGAGGTGTTTGTCAAACGCTTCCTCAGGGTATCCGTAGTATCGGAACAGAGTAGATGGGTATGTTAGGAAAGTCGGTGATCGCACAAAGGGGCCTCCACAGGCATGAAATCACTTATAGTTGATCTTTAAACTTCATGTGAATTGACCCTACAGTCCATAATGTATCCATGTTGGCTTTCATGTTTTTAAAAAGCTCCCTTTAAATTTCCAGTTAAACTTTCAAATATTTTGCCCAATTCTCTAAGAGAAATGGATACACCAGAAAGATGTACCACATTCTGTCATGGGCTTCCCATCTCCAGCCTGACTGGAGATGCCACCTGCTTTAAGAACCAGAGGTCTGAAGATACCAAAGGAGGTCTCTATGGTTGTGTAATTAAATCCAAGGGCCTGGGCACCAGGAAAGAAAATGCCGAGCACAGCATGAGCAAGGGGATTTTGCAAGGCAAACTGGAGTCATTTAGGGTTGCTTTGGAAGATGAAGGAAGGCACCAGAAGATCTGAGGAAGAGGTAGCTAAAGTTCTGAATATATAAAAGTTGCATAATTATAGGCACCGTCAAATACCACCTGCATCTCAAGAGGCAGCATCCCAATCTCCACTGTGGCTTTGGCTGCCAGCCAGAGCTGCCGTTTTATTCACAACTTGTTGGAGTGTTTCTCCCATTGAGCTTTCATGACAGTATTCATGTTGCACTCTGCTTGAGTCTCAGATAAAAGGTCCTTCATCTACACTCCCCAAGACCATTATCACTGCTTATTATAATGCCATTCAGATGAAAAGCCCTATAGCACTACAAAGAAGACCGACTTATAATAAAATCAATACTTCTTTGTTTCCTTGCAAGACAATTAAAGGGAGAGAAACAGGCAAGTCTAGAGGCTGGTACCCCTGAGACTCTCCAGAGGAAGGACGCAAGGCTAGGCGTCCTGTGGGGAGCTTCTGTCTCATTTCATCTGGGCTTGGGATGAATGGAAAGTCTCATGCACCTGATTGATGACTACTCGCTTGTAGATGACAGCGCAGGCCTTTTGCTTCCTAACTAGTCAGCCTGCTCCAAGCACTGGCTTTGCAGCAATCAGCTATTTCCCCAGCCCTTTCTTCTTCCCCAGCCAGGGAGGCTTTAACCCAAGCCCAAACTAAATGCCAGCAGTATTCTCCAAGCTCTTGGGTCCGAGCTACTGATTGGCTGGCATAGCCTTATGGAGACTGTAGTCAAAGAAGAACTCTCAGTATGAGAAGACTCAAGGATTGGGTTGGGAAGAAAGAAAAAATAGAATTTTTGTACAATGCAGAGAGATCAGAGGAATGGAAAGAGATGGAGACAAGGAGAGATAACAAGAAAAAGAAAAGACAAGGAAGAAACTTGGGAGGTATCCTCAGAATCATGCAGCATATTGACAAAGTTAGCCCAGCTTCCAAGGGGCTAACCTGGAGAAGGCAAAGCTGAGAAGAAGCCAAGACAAAATAAGCAAATAGACTGGAGAGTGGCCCACCCTGCTGAGGGTCCTGCGAGGCAGAAATGAAGATGGCTCATACAAAATCTGTGGACACAGGACTACAGCTCCTGAGGTCTCTGAAAGAAGTGACACTGTGCCAAGGTGTCCAGACTGAAGCATCACCTCTGTGATCCAGCCTGAGATTTCTTTGTGGCTGAGAAATATACTCCCATCTACACATAGCATTGTGAAGTCTAAAAGGAGCGACACTGCCTTTCCTGAAGGAATAAGTTGTGCGGAGAGAAGAAAGGAGAAACGAAGCAGGGAGAGTCAGTTCTGCGCTGGCTTCAGGTCATGGCCAGTTGGCAGCCACACAGAAGATACAGGAGAGAACAGAGGACCCCTTTTTCTCCCTGCTGGTTGCCCTGCAGAATGTGAACTGGCACAAGAATTCAGGATGGGGATCGCAGACAGACTGGCTGGTGAGTAAACACAGTGCTTCCACCTCTTGTAAATCTAGCCTCTTTCTTGCAGTGTTTCCAAGATCTCAGTGGGCTGGGGTGGATTCGCTCCCTGAATTAGTGGGGAAAATGGGACCCCAGGGTTGTAAGATCCCCATGACCTCACACAGGTGAGGGATAGACTTCATGTATTCTCTTGGTTTCCTAGTTGGAATATTTGCAGATTTTTTTCATTCAAGGAGAAATTGCGCAGTCAATGGACAATGAAACCCACATTCATTATTTAGTTCAGTTTACTTCAGAACACATTTGTTAAGCAGCTTCTCTGTGCTGAGCATAAGACTAAGCTAAAACAGAAGAATCATAGTTCTGATGAAAAGAAAAAATGTCTTTTTGTGAACAATTCTGGCCAAGATGGGTCCCCAGTATGTATGATAAACAGCCAGAAGTTATGGAGATGAGATATTTAGAAGGTGGAAGATGGACATTTAGAAATATGCTTGCATTCAAGGTGAATAGGAAACTGGTACTGACCACAGTGGCTTGCATCTGTAATCTCAGCACTTTGGGAGGCTGAGGTGGGAGGACCACTTGAGCCCACGAGTTCAAGACCATCCTGGGCAACATAGCAAAACCCCTTGTCTAGAAAAAAATTCAAAATGAGTTATAAAATTAGCTGGGCATGATGGCGCATGCCTGTAATCCCAGCTACTTGGGAGGCTGAGGCAGGAGAATTGCTTGAACCTGGGAGGCAGAGGTTGCGGTGAGCTGAGATCGTGCCATTGCACTCCAGCCTGGGCAGCAAGAGTGAAACTCCATCTAAAAAAAAAAAAAAAAAATGAGCCCGGCTTGGTGGAGCACACATTGGTCCCAGCTGCTTGGGAGACTGAAGCAAGAGGATTGCTTGAGCCCAGGAATTTGAGGTTACAGTGAGCCACAATCACGCCACTACATTCCAACCCGGGCGACAGCAAGACTCCATCTAAAAATTAAAAATAAATGTAAAAACTGTATGCATGGCACTATGGGAATTAGTCACTTGTTGAACATCTACTGTGTGCTTGGCACAGTCCTGGGAGCAGGGGACATGGTGGAGAGTAGGGGTATGTCATGTCCCTGCCCCCCAGGAACTCGGAGTCCTGCTGAACAGACAGGTGGGTCCAGAGTTAGCATAATGTAATGTGATTGGGCCTTCGCCCAAAAACATCTCCTTCCCCTACCCAGTCCATTTCTTCCTACACCCACCCTGACCCAAACCCCATTCAGGGCGTTCCAGTCCAGCTCATGATTTTCAGCCACACGGTGAGGGGATGAAGCCTTTTCAGGTTACGCACTTGTATCCCAAATGGTCGTTCGTGCTTCACTCTCTAAGTGACTCACAGGCAGGATTCAGAGAACTGTTCTCATTAGAATCTTGTTCCCTTTAATAATCTAGTCTTCAGCCAGGCAGAGTAACGAGTTGTTTTGGTATCTGGTAGCTGTTGCTTTGGAGACCGCAGGAGGGGTGGTGGTGATGGCCCATGGCTTCAGCCCTGTGGCATCCCCACAGGGTCTGTGGGGGTCAAGGTAAGTTTCGAAGCAAATGAAAGAGCTTTTGGCAGGTGTAGAGTAAGAAATCATTCCAGGGATGTGGTGTGGGGCAGAAAAAGAAAAGCACCCACAGTAGATCAAGCGAATAGACAGAGGAGCTAGAAAGGGGAATAAGGCTGGTGGAGAGAAACGGAGGGAGTCCTGCTGGTGAGTGGACACAGTTGTGCCACCGCCAAGAACAGAGAGACCTCCTGAGGATGGAGGGCCTTAGAGGTCAATGTGAATGACTGAGGCAGGTTGTATGGAATGTCCAAGAACCAGGGGGGAAGGAAGGGAAAGGGAGGTTTGGATGCAATAACCAGCATCAAGCGGGGAGCTTCCAGGCAATGGCCAAAGGCCAGAAGCTGAATCTAAAATGCTGATGAAAGACAACACTGGGAAGGTCACCCCTAGGGAGATCCCAAACCCTAGGATGCCTTTCCCGTAAAACCCATCCCAGCATTTGAGAGTGGTCCGAATGTGAAGTTTTACCCACATCTTCCTCCAGCAAGGCCCTCACGGTTGGGAACAGGGAAAGAGCGAGGAACAGGAATGAGAAGACTTGGGCTTGAGGGCAAGGCGCTGCCAAGAACTGCCGTAAGGTGCGGAGGGGTCATTTCACCTTCCTACACCTGTACTTCTCCCTCTGCACGATAGGGACTGTGATGCCTGCTCACCTCTCTCAAGGTTGTTTGGGGCCTCCAACTGGATACAACACAAATACTTTAACAAGTACTTTGT